AGGAATCGATAAGTTGGTAATCCCTTCCAGAGATCACAGATGAATCCAGGACGGCCTCCTGGGAGAGGAAGGAGAATGAGGCTCCAGCGGGGAGGGAAGGAGGGGCACCGGGGATGCTGAAGAGAGTTTTTTACAGTTCTAACACTGCTACTTGTGCTGCTGAGTTCGGGAGGGGGAGGGGAACAAAAGACCTATGGTCCCCCTCTCCTGGATCAGTCTATGCCAGCGGTGGAAGGAGACTTCAGGATCACCAGTAGACTTGTCAGTTAGGTGATGCAGCTTTGGTTAAAGCAGCTAGAAAAGTTCCCAAACCCAAAGTTCAAAGATCAGTCTATCAGTTACAGCTAATCCTTGCATTGAGTACAGAAACGAAAAACGTTTCAAAAAATACAATGTAACTTCGAGATTTTCAAAAATTTTATTTGTAAATTGTCGAATGATAAAACAACAAGAAATGTGCATGAGAGATATACCATCCGCTGAAAAAGACTTTATGTGAGTGATGATAAATTACAAAACGGGATAAACTGTGTCTGTATCAACCTGATAACTTTGATAATACAATTTAAAAAAAAAAACCCCATCAGGGAAGCACAAATAAAATTAGCAATATGGATGGATGGCTTTTGAAGATAAACTGAAATAACAGAGAGAAGAGAGGAGCAATGGGTAAGATGTGATGCAGTTGGCACTGGTGGATTTATGTGGGTATATAAAGATAGTAGCGGAAGTGGGACAAATCCAGGGAGAAAAAGTGAGGAAATCGAAGCAGGATGAGTCTCTGCAAATAATGAAAAAGATCAAAGAGCAGGAATCAAGAAAAAAAAATGGAAATATTCCCGAAAAAGGGAATTGAGAAGGACCAAAAAGGACCCCTCAGTTTCCATGCCTAAAAAGAACACTTGAAACGTCAAATCCAAATTAAAACAGATCTGATTCCCCCAAAGCTAACAATTCCTTCAGAAGACGAAACGAAACGTGAGCAGGATCAAATCAGCGACAAGCTAACCAATAGGCAATATGTAATATCGATTAAAGCAACTGCAAAAAAGTTGCAAATCTGTGAAATTGAAGAACTGGACTATGAATTAATAACTGTGTTTCAGGATATTTCATACGTATTTGAAAAATATATGGGATCAAAGAAGAAAGAGGTAGATGGCAGCGAGTAGATAGGGGAAACTGGAAACTGCGCTCAGACTGCCACCGTGGTTGAAAGAACTGCTGCTTTCAAGCAGCTTCCACTTTAAGAAGCTCAATATCGAAAATCAACGTCGAAAATGGTGGTATAGCACCCGGAATTCCTCGGCTACCATATGCCAGGTCCGGTGAAACTGTCAATTTGGCACGCTGACCAAGCGACATCTGCAACAAATCACTGCATACACATTCCTAAAAATCAGAAGGGGTCTTTGCCCCTCTCATCCTGAGCACCAGCA